GGACAGCATGGTGCAGCTTGGGGCATCAGGGTGAGTAGGAGACCCCTGATGAGGTTGGGCCAGGGGTGGGAAGGAACAGGGGAGGGAGTGTCAGGCAAAACAGTGTAAAACCATAGCTACAGTTAAGCAGGGTTGGCCAACCCAAGGAAAAAATTACTTCAAAATTTTACTGACAACCAAACTTTTTTGCTTTTTTACTATGATTGATGTTAAACCCTTAAACTTGAACCCAACTTGAACTAACTGGGGCCTGGCAGCAAGGTTTCATCTACATTATGTAAAAAACATCAGGAAAAACATTTGCTAGTAAAAATGCTTGGCTGTCAATAAAAAGTTTGCAAATGGTCAGTAAAAAAGTGTATTGGGTTGGCAACCCTGACACAGCTTTTGTCTCCAGTTAAGCTTTTTTCTTCATGTTACAAATCATCTATATTATGATAATGCATAAAGACCCCCACCAGGATTGGAAGATTTCCCACAAAAAACAGTACAAGTTGGCAACTCCTGCCTTGATGAGCCAACAGTTTGAACACAGAAAAGAGAGTGAAGGAGGGGAAACATATTCTTAATTCAGAATCAACATAAAAAATCTAGGCTTTTTATTTCAGTAGGACAGACACACGATGCTCTGTGTTTCAAGAATTTAACATGAAGTTCAGATTTTTAAATCAATGTTTACTACCACCTGAGAATGAACTTCAAAACTGCTACTAGTAAGCTCACCAATTAATTTGACCAAGCTGTACAGACCAAGACCAGGGCCTATTGCATGGTTTCACACCAAAAAACTGTAATTAAGAGCTCATCCCACTGGGGTTGAATGACGTGATACTAAGCTGTCTTTGTCTAACCAGTCAGCTAATGTTTGACGTAATGTTAGTTTAAGCCACTCAACACTAAAATTTCATATTGTAAATCTTGATTGTAAGGTCTTTGGGGCAATGAGAGTCACCTCTTCTACAACTGTAGAGTGCCTACAATGAGGGAAGCCAAGTTCCACATTCACACTTATGTAGATGTATCAAAAAACTGACCACGTTATAACCAACAATTATACCGCTCCTTCGCTCTTGCCCAATCAACCAAGGAACTGAAATTTGGTGTTTAGAAAAAAAAAGGATGTAAATTAAAGTGGTATTTTCTTCTAAACAAAACAAACAAAAAAAAGCTCAGTTCAACTACTGTTCAAAACACTTTGGGCTTATATTTAAAATCAAATTAAATGAAAATTTGTTCGGGCTGCTTTTATCTTTAATTGATGACAGTTCAATAGCACATATAATAACAGGGTTGGTAACTTTTTATAAAAGGTGTTTATAAGTTATAATTTGTTTGCTCTTGCCAAATGAGAGACACCTCAAACTATTGTTATGCCACAGAAGCCACATTCAGACAATTCCTGCTTGTGCATACCAGACATATTCTGCAAAAAAAAAAAAAAAGAAAGAAAAAAATGGAAATAAAAGCAGAACTCAGTCGTACTGATGCCCCACAACTGAATTACAGAACAATGATAACTTGGCTCTTCTCAATCTGGCATTTGAAACTGTTTTGTATGACCACAGAATAAGATGACAGAATCAAGATTCACGAGTAGAAAAGTTAATCAACCCCAGGTTCAACTAGTTTGCTGTTTAAATTACTTAGAACTCAGCTGCTCATGAAAATATAGCATTTTTTTCAATTACAGCTGCTCTTAAATGGGCTCAGAAGATTATTACATCTATTGACATTTATGGTACTGCCAAAAGAAGCCATGCACAATATACACAGATCAAATAAAAGACAAATAAATGGGGGTCAAAGATTTTCCCACTATTTGAAATTAGTTCATAAACTAATTCTGAAGAATTGTCACATTCCCTTTAAAAAAAACACCCAATAAATGTGCAATTTCTTGTCTTGAAGTGGTACAGGTTTCACATCAGTACCTCCTCCTCACTCTTTCCACAAACAAGTGACTGTCATGGCTGTGGTCTATATAAGTGCCAAAGCTAATGCCTCAGCAGGGAAGCTGGTAGGGCATTCTCTGCCAGTACCAAAGGCTTTCCTTTGCCCAGATCTAATGCACCCTCTCCAGAGATCCATCTTTTCTCTCCCATGCCTGGGAAGGGCTCAGTGGTGGTGGTGAGGTACTTGTTTAGAGAATGTGTGAAGGAAGTGGATTAAATATGTTATTTCACTAATTACGGTAGGTTATTTGATTTGGGGTAGTTGACAACTCTTGTTATTAATTAGTATATTTTTAAGAGTGTCAGAGGGCACCTAGATGACTGAACGGCAGCTTTTGTGTTGTAGTTTCGGAAAAAAATCTGAATAAAGGAAGGACTTTACTCTCTACAGATAGAGGTTATTTTCTGGTTAACTAATAAAGATAATGAAAAACATGTTGCAAGTAAAAGAAGCATCTAATTTCTGTAGTAATTAAATACTTTGATTTCCCCTATGAAATAGATGTGTAATCTTTTGAAGGTGGAAATTAAAATGTACATGAAAGAGAACGTTAAGCATGAAGGACAAATAATCCCTCTATTTAAGCATTCATCAAACCCAAAATAGAGGCTCTGATTTCAATAATTTTATAAATTTCAGTTGCTTCAAATTTTTTATTTTAATATTTCTATTCACTTAGCAGTGACCTGAAGATGTTTACAAGACATTACAGGATTCCATAATCATCACTAGCTCAGGCTGGGAAAGAGCTTACTTGCTTATGAAAATGCAAATCCTATAGACAAGATGATGGGTTTAACACAGGAGTGGACAAAATACAGCCTGCAGGCTGGATCCAGCCCACCAGACAATTTCATCCAGCCCGCAGGCACCCATCAACTAATTGTATTCTATTCAGCCCATGTACCTCACTCCAACCCTCGTGTGGGGAAGGGCCAGGCCCAGCCAGCACACAGCTTCTTGGCTGGGCTGCTGCTGCCACTGCGCAGCTGCCAGGGGATCTGCTTAGCTTCCCTGGAGCCCGGTGGTTCCTCCTCATCTCCCTAGAGCAGCATCTGCTCCAGGCAGCAGGTAGGGAAGTGGCAGCTGGGCAGAAGCATGGGGCTGGTGGGAGCTTCTAGCAGAGTCCCGAGACCTGCACAGCAGGGGGCAGAGAAGACAGCCAGCTCCATCGTGCAGGGCTTCCCTCAGTGGCGCATGAATACTGGGAGCTGCATGTGTGCCGCAGGGAGCCCTATGAGACAGAGGTGGGTCAGCTTGGCTGTGCTCCTTGTCACATGCTGCTGGGTGGCAGCAACTGCGTGGGCCACGAGCGCCTGCCATTTCATGGCAAGGGCTGTGCACCATGGGGAGAAGTGTGTGTGGGGGGGGGTCCCCCCCCCATCCTCCCTCACATTCCACAAACCCCACACACCCACACCCGGACCCCACATCCCCCCACATATATACCCCCCAACATACCCTATGCCCCCCCCCACAGGCACACCCTCATAGCCCTCCCACACCCCACCATATACACACACCCACCCCCAACCAGCCCTCATATACAATATATAAGAATAAGACTTTATTTTTGAGTTATTATGCAATCACCTCTATATACAGTATGCAAACACAAATCATGACAAAAGTTTTTTTGTAATAAAATTAAAATATTATAGTACGTGTTTGACTTTTAGTGTATGGTTTGGTTTTTTTCTGATTCCAAGATGGCAACCTTCCTCTCCCAAAAAGAGTACTTCTGGGGGCAAGGGAAAGGACTTCCAGTGGCAAAGGTCAGGAGTTAAGGGTGGGACTTCAGGGCCCAAGATGGCAACCAGGGAGCGGGGCACCTGTCAAGGAATGGGGCTACCCTTGCTACCCTCAACCAAAACTCACTAAGCGGCCCTCTAGCTGAAACAACTACCCACCCCTGATCTATATCTATATATGACAGCTAGTCCCCTTTTCCTCTTCTGTGAGTGCAGTTGTCAACACTCTTAAGTTGTCCTTTTGTAGATACTATGACAAGCATTCACTACCCTCCTTCCTGGTGCAGTCTGATACAGCTACAGCTGTACCCCCAACTTCCCTCATGTTTCCTAAGGAAAGCTTCTATCCTCCCTACTCATTACACTATCATTTTACTTCCCAATATTTGTGTTCTGCTCCATAACCCTTGCATGGCTTCCACTGATGCCTGTCCTCCCTGCCCTTCCCCTCATCTTTGCATTTTAATTAGGGGTGCACCGATAAAGATTTTCTTGGCTGATACTGATAGCTGATTATTAACCAGCCATATAGCTGATTTCCAGGAATGTAGCCTAGCAGCT